GCTTTTGAGGTCCCTTCCAATCCCTAACGATTTGCGATTCTGTGATTCCTTCCCAGGCACAGGTTTGTGCATTTGTCCTTTCCCAAGGTCCCTGTCAATGGTGACCCTGTCCTCAAGCTCATCCTTTTCCCTCCATGGGGTGTTTTCCACAAACCCGAGTCCATCCCCTTTCTCCCTCCAGTTTCTTGGTACGTGGACATCACCTATGAAGACCTCCCAGTTCCGTGGACTTTGTCCAGCTCCTCATGCCCCACAACTTCCCAGCTGACCTGAGCAGCCATGGCAGCAGCAAGGCCAACCCCACGATGCATGAGAAGTGTGTGAGCCCTCAGGGGAGAGTGGGGGTGTCAGGGAATGGGGAGAGGCTGCATCCCCGTGCCTGACCTCCCAGGAAAGACACGGAGCATCCCAACTCCAACGGTGACGACCGGAGCCGTCAGCCTCGCCCAGTGGCTATCACCCTGTGCATAAACGGGTAATCTCCCTCATTAGAAGAGGTGACCATTTATATTTCATGACAATTAGATTTAATCAGCCTTTTGATACACATAAATATATCTTTAAAATTCCGTAAGAAAAGAAAACAAGTTAAAGGCGTCTCTATGTGCACAAAGCAAGGAGCGCCCTGGACAGCCTGGCTTCTCCTCTCTCCCCACAAGAGCTCCCCAGAGCAAGCGCCCGACCTCCTCCCCGTGGCTGGGCACAGCAGCCAGCCCAGCTGCAGCCAGCCTCGCTGCAGCCAGCCCCGGTTACCCACAGAGACACCGAAACGGATCCCAGGAAGCCCCCAGACCCTTTCACACGGTGCCTTCCTCTGCCCTGCTGAGCTTTATGGGCAGGGAGCGGCGGCTGCGGGGCCTCCTCACTCTGCGTCCGTCGCCCACAGCCCGGCCTGGGTGTTTCTCTCCGGTTTTGCAAGAGCAGCTTCCTGCGTTAACGCGTCTGCGGTGAAACAAATTCCTCCCTAAAGCTCCATATAAGGAGCTTGCGGGCCCAGAGCTCTAAATAATCCCCTGGCTCTTCCTGTTTGGAATGATGCTGCTGTTGCTGCTAATAACGATACAACTGAAATTAGAGGACAATAACATTTATTTGGAGCATGAGGGATTCCACATTATACAAACCCTTAAATTCATTTTTCTATTTCACTGGTCCATTTCTACAACAAATACATCAGATCTACTATATAATAAAATTATTTACATTTCCAAACAAGATTGGGTTCACAAACCCTCTTACTGCTATTCACATACAGTACTTCAACGACAGCACAATACGTTATTTTATTACCTAAAAATGACAACCCTGTATTCTAATTTGTTTATGAAAAGTGGAAATAAATTTACAGTTGTCTTCCCCTCCCCTTCCATCTCATACAAACACGTTGAGCTAATGTGCTAACCCTGAACTTCACATCGTAAATCCAGGGGGTTTTAGAAGACCCCAGTTTTTATATCTATTTATCTGTCTTTTAGAAAAAAAATCATTTGTTGGGAACACTATAATATTAAAATTACTTACTGTACAGAATCTTATTTAAAAAAGAAAAATCACAGCTCAAAATTGCTATCGGTAAATTCACTCTCATTTACAAGTTTCATGTTTCCATGCAGTAATTTACTTGGATTTTCTTCTTTTTGACTGCATTGCACTGGCACTCGTTTCTGAAATCAAGAGAAGAAAAGAAGCATGGATCCGAGGTCTGTATGAACGGCCGTTCACCAGAGGCGCACGCCTTGCCCTCCTAGCTTTCCAAAATCCGAGTTCTCCCTAGCCTCTGGTAGGGCACTGCTTTGTGAGTTTAACACCTACAAAGTCCTCACGGAGCAGCCTTAAAACCAGGGCCGTGCACCTTTGGCTGCTCTTGAACACAGCTCCCCGGGCGTCACGAGGGGCCGAGCCCCAGCACCA